TAGCATCAAATTATTCAGGATGCTTTAAACAAAGGTTTGTGAAGATCTCCAGAGGGATCTCTCCAAGCTGGAGGTCAAGGCATGAAAATGGTTTCAATGAAAGGAAACATAAAGTGATGTAGATCTGAACTTCAAATAGAAGCGATAGGACAGTTAGCAATTACTGACCAGGAAAGAGATCTTGGAGTTGTGGTGGATAGCTTGATAAAATATCAACCCCATGTGCAGCTGCTATGAAAAAGGTGAACTCTGTGTATAGTTAGGAAAGGAACTGAAATAAAACTGCCAATATCATACTATACTGATCCCAAGCATGGTGCAGCCACATTGGAAATCATGTGAAAGATAGAATACCACTGGAGAAAGTACAGAAAGGGACAACAACAACGACTGAGGCGGATAGAGTGACTCCCCATAAAGAAAGACTACAGCATCTGGAATTGTAGTATAATAGGATGTATAGGAGAAAGTGGCTAGGGATACAATTTTCTCCCTCTCAGGATACTAAAACCCAGTGGAGTCATCCTCTGGAACTGATTGGTGGAATATGGAGATTCGGGGCAGATGAAAGGGAGTGTTTCTCCAGGCAGAGCGTGAGGACCAGTCCTGATGGCTGTGTGCCACAGCATCAGAGGCAGTGTGTGCACATGCGCATGCACCAGTTCCTGGGGGATGTGGGCAGGAGGTGCTGTTGCGCTCATATCATGCTCATGGGATTTCCATGGGTAGCTGGTTGGCTGTCTGGTTGGGAAGGCTGCCCTGAAGGAATAACTCAGCAGAAACATCTCAGCACGTCTCAAGGCAGGAGCTGACAACTGACGAGACAGCGACTCTGCGGAAGCCCGAGAGGTCTGGGAGTGGTCTGCGTGCATGGACACAAAGAATTCACATTTTGGAATACATAAAACCCTCCCGTAGTCAACAGTGTCTGCAAGACCTGCTCCAGTATTAGATCGGAAGGTCATGATGCAAACTGTCAGCAAGGCAGGCCAGCTGCACAGCTCCCAGATGAGACAGGTAGCATCTTCGTGGCTGGGGCATCAAGTGGATGTCTATGTCTAGAACCGGTCTATCGTACTCCTTCATCTCAATGTGCAGCATCCCCATGAGAGCCCAAGTGATGCGGCGCTTGGCATGCTGGCCGGGGGACCCAGGTGGTCCAGGTGCTAGCCTCCACCTGGCCCTGGGGCTCACTGGGTGACTCCGAGCAGGTCACCAGCTCTGGCCTGACCGACTTCACAGGGTGGATGCCCTGAAAATAATGCCTTGGTTTCCTCGCAGGAGAAAAAAAGGCGGGAAATAAATGCAGTGTGATCATAAGGACAGCTGTGACATCTGTTTCGTTGCCTTGGTTCAATCATCATTCCCCCAGTGTCATTATTGTGCATCAGACGTCATTCTCCGACTCTCCTGGCATTTGGTGTATGTCCTTTGCTGCAGGAAGGAGGTGAGTGTGTTGTGCAGTTATCGCCCCTGCCAGCGGGTGGTTCTGTTTGCGCACTGTCTGTGCAGCTCTCTGTTGCACGCGTCTTCCCTGTGACAGTACTGGGGCAATGGAAGGAGCCGTCTGCAAGAGTCACACAGGATATTTATAGAGCAAGTATGAAAGCGCTCAGGTGGCCAACAGAGCTGATCCGGGTGTGCCAAGCGCTTCCTGCCTCGCCGCATTCTAGATTTAAGGTGCTACTGAATTGCAAGAGAGGATTAAAAGGTATGTCTCATCAAGATGCTAACATGGCATTCTTACACTATCCCGCTACCACTGCCGAGCCCGGGGTGGCATGCTCATCCAGCGATTAGAGCTTCACAAACAGTCGCACTCCGTTCCTGCTTTCCCTCAACCATGGATGTTTTGGTAGTTTTCTGGGCTTGGCACATCTTTCATCCTGTCCTAAAAGACAGACACTAGCAGTAAGAATGCTAAGCTACAAGGTGCTGGCATTTGTTTATATTGCCGCCCCATCTCTTTTGCCACTGACGCTGCCTCCATCACCTCTGAGCTGAAAGAATTCCTCCACCACTGGTCTAGCCCTCCCTCCGCTCTCACAAGGAGGCCCTGTAAGCGAATACGAGTGTGTGCAGTCCTCTTGCTGAGCCATGCCCACTTCCAGGATACTCCACTCCATCCCTGCCTCCTTATGAGCTTACATTTCCCCTCACCACAGTCATGTGGTTGTGCCTATTGATTATTCTCCATCCTCACGGGAGTCTTTTTAAGAGCTTAGCTCCCCACCACCACCACCGAGGGTTTTCATCCCAAAGATTTTTATGTACTTCAGTAACTCTTTGGATCCCCCAAGCTTGCCAATAACTTCTTGTGCTCGGTGCTGCGCTCTCTAAACACATGGTTTGCACCCCACCTTTTCAGTCAAGATTGGCTTCCAGAGCGGCTTTCCATTCAGATCCGTATCAAGCTGGTGTTCCCTGGTTCCTCCACTTCCCAGCTCCCCGCAGCCAGTCGCCTGTCCTGCTGCCTCGGGCCCTATTCAGGCATTCCATTTCCCTGCACACCAAACACGCGAGGAGCACCACCCCTCACATGTTTCTCCCACCCTGTTGCTGGTGGAGGGCAGAGTTCTGAAGAGGGCGGGTTTTTCATCACACGGACTGCCTCCATGGACAGAGAAGGTCCTCTTCAGGAAGCCGCCCTCCATGAATGCAGCCGGGGCAACGCAAATGTGCGAGCTGAAGCGTGGCCTGAGCATTCCCCCCTTGGCAGGCTGTGGGGACCCTCTTCAGCCCCATTCACACATTCCGAATGAGGCTTCAAGGGTGCAAGAAAATCTACCAGAGGATTGGCAGTGGAAGGGTGGGAGGCAGCGTGGATGCTTGCTTGGGTGCTTGTCGGTGCCCTACGGACAAAAGCTGAGAAAGACCCTTCATTGTGGAAGGAGCGTGTCAGAGGATCTCAGCTTTGATTTTTAAACTGGAATCGGCTGCTTCTTCATGTGGGTCACAGGTCTTCCACACTGACTTTTAATACATTTCTCTGATTTGTTTTATTCTCTGTTTAACCCACCCTAGGGATTACATAATGTAAGGATGCTAGATAAACTTAAAATAAAAATTATCCTTTGCCTGAACAGCTGCCTCGCCTTCCTCTGAGGGTAGCCATCACTCACGATAGACTCATCGCTTAAATTGGCAATCATTTCTCTCTGTTCTGCAGATCATGAGATTCTCCCTTGAGATCTCAAGACCTGAGATCAATAAATCGCATTATTAGAAGTTTACTTTTTCAAAGCCAAGACCTTCCTCCAAGTATCACCCTGGAGGAAGGCTTGGACAATGCCAAAAACAGGAGGGCCTTCTCAGTGGTGGCATTCTTAACTTGGAATGATCTATCCACTGAGGTCCAAAGGATGCCAACTCTATTATTTTCTGTTGCCAGGTGAAGACTGTGCATTTCTCCAAGGCACTCAATAGCATTTAATGGCATGGGGGCAGCATTTCTATTGCTCTACTTGTATTGAAATAGTTTTACTTTAAATCGCTTTAAACTCTTGTTTTCACTTGTGTATACTCTAATTTATTTTGTTGTTCTTGTATCTATGGTTTCTGTTTTTATTTATTTGTTGTGAATTACCCAGAGGACTTTGGCTATTGGCAGTATAGAAGTGAAAGAGTAAGAGTTAAGAAGCTGTGGAAGAAGCCATGCAAGAGATCTTTCCAACTTCTTGAAAATAGCCCTAGACTTTCATAAAGGCAAGGAAGAGCCCACACACCCTAAGCAATGAATTCCTTAGTGATTCTTCCAAATGTTCAGTTTTTTTCATGTATTTATCCCAGCAGCTCTTACAAGAGCCCAGTATGGTGCTAGATGCAGGTACCCATTGATCCATTTTTCAGCAGCAAATGTCCACATGGGCCTCCACGGAACCTTACCCCCCAAGATCTCATTCACAAAGCAACTTTTAACTAGATACAACAGTGAACAGCACAAGTAATGCCTATACTTTCTTGCCCCCATCTCTCTCCTTGATGCCCACTGATGCCAGAGAATGCAGAGGAGGAGACGGTGCCAACCATGTAAGCCCTTAACCATGTAACATTTGTGGATCCTTTCCCATGAGAGACAGTGTTGTGCAGCAGTTAAAGTTCTGCAATGGGAGACCGGGATACCATTTGGCTATGAAACTCATTAGGTGCCGTTGCAAATATCACAAACTGAACAAGCTTGTTGCTACTGTAAGGATAAAATGGAATGGAGAACTGCATAAACTGACTTGGGTTCCTTGCAAGAGGAAGAAAGGTGGGAAATAAATGCAGTGCGGTAATAATAATGAGGAGGGGAAGGAGGAGGTGGTACTTAATATAAATTATCTGATGTTTTCTGATGTTTTCCAAATGCTTGCAAGCCACCTTTTTAGATGTCAGGCCAAAAGGCAGGGTATGAGGGTGCAATTCGATGTATGTTTATAGACAGGGCTGCAACCTAAATGTATTAACACAGCAATCATATCTCACATTCAAGGCATGCAGGGCAGTGGTGAGACAAGGGAATCACTGCTCCCAGAGCTCTGATTTTACTGCACCAGGAGAGTGGGGACAGCTTTTTCTTCCTCCCGCCCATTGACTGGGAGTAAACAAGGACTCCACATCTGCCAGTAGTGCCCATAAAATGCACACTGTCCAGAGCTTTTTGTGGGTGTATCAAGATATTTCTGATAGTGGAGATGTCAACCCACTGGCAGGACTCCCTCCCACTGGCAGAGTGGCTCCTGTGCTTCTTCCCAAGGTCCTTTAGCTGGCTTCAAGGAAAGTTTACGATTGCTCCCTAAATACATAAATAAGCAACTCAGAATTATTCTTATATTACTAATGGATGCAGGGGAAGGAGAGATCTGTACCAGAGAGAAATTGCATTTTTCCTTATGGCAAATCTTGCCATTCTCAAAAAGAGCAGTCTCCCCCTTGATTTAAAAAGAACCCCCGCCACCAAACTCCCCAATTTAACAATGCAAACGTTTGGAAATTAAGAATGCAGAACACGCACTTACTGGTAATACTGTGCAATTCCAAGGAGAAGCTGTTACAGGATCATTGATGCAGCTTTTCTGGTTGAGCATCTCAGAGGCACATAAGCTACTTTTGGTCCTTCTAGAGTCTAGTTCTGGTGTATTCCAGGAGTTTATACCTGCGCTGGCCCTTCTGGAATTCTGCTCAATTGCATAAATGCGTGCACTAGTTCCTTCCGGTTTGGATGGGTCCGCAGATGACCTATATGGATTGCGAGAGGTTGCATTTTCAACCACTTTGGTTGCAGAGTCTTCCAGCAAAGCCCGCCTCGTTCGCCATGTGTTCCTCACCGTGATATGTTTGGTCTCGGATGAGTTTGTCTCAGAAGAGCTGTGGCTCTTCCAACTGATTGTCTCTACGGCAGGTTCACTGTTCCTCTCAATGGATTCAGAAGGTTTTATCACAATGCTGCTTTTGGATACTACTGTGTCCACCCTGCTTCTCAGAGCACAGTCCCCGTTTTTATCAGCCTCGGATAACTTCAGGGACACATTGCTCTTGTTAATCAGTGCCTCATAAGATGCACTGGCTCCGGATGAACTCTCATTTGGAATTACCCTAATATTGCTGGCAGCCACGAACTGCTGCTCCTTGGGGGCTTCACTTGTGCTGGTCCTTTGAGTGGTTGGCTCAGATGGGTAAATGGTGATGCTGCTTGTCATTTTGTGCGAGACTGTCTTAAAGACGGAGTGCTGCTTGTCAGAGTTGGCTTCAGGCCCTGACCCTGTACCACCCATGATCTCCTTTGTGTCCTTTTCTACAATTGCTGGTTTGATGACTGCTTTAGATCTCAGTGCTTCCCTTGGGCTGAATTGCCTTCTGGATTTCAAACCTGTGACAGAGGCAGCTGGAGATGCTCTGGATGATTTGCCAAGCTCTTCTTCACCAGAAGTATTTCTGTCATTTTCAAAAGGAGATGTTCGAGCAGCTCCCCTGGAGCTTGTGAATTCTCTGGAAATAGACTCCTTTTTTATTCCTAAATCAAAAGTAGGAGTAGCTGTGACTTTGCTTGCCTCTTCATTAGTGCTGAATTTTTCATAGCTGCTGGGGTTGAGAACTTTGGCTCTTGCAGAAGGGAATTGTAGACCCACGTTGCTGGAGTTTACAGATAAAGCACTGGCCTGATCCACTTCTTCCTTCTGAGGACCTGGGTGACTCTGCAAGAGATCTTCCTGGCTTCTGGAAAGGAGTCTTGACTTTGACAAAGGCAAGGGCTTTGCTATTTCAAGTGCAGCTTCATTAAACTCTCTCTCTTGTGAGTTCATTACCTTTAGGGAGCTCTCTTCCAAGTGCTGTCTGAGAGATGACGTGTCCCCCTTGAGGTTGGTGGGTTCAGTGGCTAATGCTTCTGTGGAAAGGTAATGCCTATAGGAAATGCCTGCAGCCCCATTGGATGGCCCACAATTTGTTTTTGAGATGCGCGTCTCTGCTGAAGGAACGGGTGATTCGGCAGGATTCTGTGTTTTAGTTCCCTTTTCAGAAGATGACATGGCTGTTTCTGCTTTGCTGGGCTTTGTCAGTTCATCAGACTTACAGTGATACAAGTCGTTAAACGGTTGGCATGTTTTTTCGACTTTGCCCTTCAATACATTGTCATTCTTGGGTTTTGAAGGGGTCTTCCAAGATTTGTGCTCCTGCGCTGCAGGCGGGTAACGGCTAAGCACAGAAGGCTGCTCTCGAGTTTTTTTCACTTCAGCTGGTGGGGTACCACCTTCTTTCTGTGCGGAAAGGTGCACACCCAGGGCTGGCTTGTCCTCCAGTCGTTTAACATCCGTTGCTAAAGTGTCCAATAATGCTGAAGTACTAGAAGCTTTGGTTGCTCTCCTGCTGTTCAGATTAGGGCTTGTAACCCGCTTGCTACCTTGGCCATGGGTTTCATTATTAAATGAGAATTCTCGGCTGCGTATCCTTTCCCGTCTGTGCTGGGGAGAAAGCTCCCGAGATTTATGCTTTGAACCCACTGATTCAGCCATGACCGCTCGGTGTTTGGGTCTTTCGTGCTTGACCCGGCCCGGCAAATTAATTTCATCAGCTTCTGCCTCACCATTCTCCATCTCTTTCTGCTTCTTTATCTGCATTTTCATTTCTTCGAGCTGGCCCATTAGAAGACTGTTTTTACTCTGTTCGCTCAAGAAGTTATCATGCAGGTCATTATTTTTGGCTCTCAAGGTTTTAAGTTCCTCTTCCAAAGACTCAAAATGTTTCATCTGAGTTTTCAATTTCTCAATTTCTTGGTTAAGGTCCTTCACTTTGTTGTCTTCCTGATTTCTATTCTTCTGGTTTTCTGATTTGTTTCGAGCTTCATTTTCTGCAAGTTTCAGGTAATCCAGACTCCCTTTTCGTCGGGTTTCTTTTGAAGGAAGTGCTGAAGTGGTCAAGTCAACCTCAATCCGCAGGTCGTTTCTCTCAAGGATACTATTGGATGATCTTTCCAGCAGATTTGATGTGTTACGCGTCTGATCTGCCCGATTCAGTTTGTTATTTTGCTCTAGCTTTTGTGTCAGTTCTTGTATCAGCTTCTCATTCTGCTTCTCCTTTTCAGTGAAGTGCTTCCTTTCACTAACAAAGGCAACAGCTAAAGATTTCAGTTTTTCCAGTTCACTCATTAAACTCTGTTCAGTTTTATCTAGCCTGTCTTCTGATTGTTCAAGCTCTTTTACCTTTGCTCTAAGAACTTCCAGTTCTGTTGAAATTTTCTTGGTCAGGTTTTTCTCCTCATTGAGACTGAGGCACAGCTGCGTACAGTCATTCTTACTCCGCCCAAAGGCTTCCTCCAGCTTCTCAAGCTCTGCCATTCGGTTCTGGAGCCGCTCAATTTCGGATTTCAGCTCCCGAGTGAGGCTTTCTTCTTCCTCAAGCTTCTCCTTCATCAGTTGGCAAAGCTCTTCCGCTTTCCTGATCTCCTCATCCTTCCCTTCGATTTTCAGAACTCGCTTCCGCAGGGCTTCCACATCGGCCAACATGCTTGAGTTGCTGCCTTCAGCTTGGATAACTTTGTCCTGCAGCTCCAGCAGCTCATCCTCTGCTTTCTGCAGGTTTTTCGTTGCCTCCTCCAGTTCATCAAGGCGACGGCTGAGATTCTGGAGCTTGAAACGCAAATGACGACTTGCAGTCTCTTTATAAGCTGAATAATCTGCCATGGTTGATGCCTATAATTTCTGTTTCGTAGTCCTCAGATGGGTGCAAGGAGTTTTGTGGACACTTTATTCTTCTCTTTGTTTCATCAAGCTTCTCAGGCAGAGGACCAGCACCTGAAAAGAAAAAGCAGTGAATGAGTATACTGGAAAACCCTCCCTCATATTCTCAGCTATTTTTCCTCTGAATAACTGTGACTCCATTTGCTTTGAGTGAAAGGGAAACTCAGGGGGAGACCCTATGTGTTCCATGCAGAAGATGCCAGGTTTAGTTTCTGCTATTTCCAGGTAGGGAAATCTTACAGCCGGACTCCTGCCCAAATCCCTTGACAGCCACTGCTGGTCATGCAGGCCATGCTGAGTGAAAACCAATGGTCTGTTCTCAGTACAAATAAGCTTCACCTTTAGGCATGAATGGTGATGCTGCAGATACCCAAACTAATTCTCCCTGGAGACTCTCCTCTGCAAATAATGGACCTCCACCTGTACTTATCCATGTGCGCTTGTCCTCACTCCCTCTCCTTGCATGGAGAGCTTACATTCAAGAACACTATTCACATCTGACTCAAGTCCAGCAGAACCACCTTAAAACCATGAAACTGGAGGGCCACAGTGCAGTGGCAGAGCAGCTGCTTAGCAGGTGAAAGGTCCCAGGTTCAGTCTCCAGGGTATCTAGAGAGGGCTCGAAAGTCTTGTCTGAAACCTTGGAGGGCCCCTGGCAGTCAGTGTTGGCAATACTGAGATAAATCAACCTGACTCAATATAAGGAAATGTCCTATTTTCTACCATCCATACACTAAATCTTGACACACAGAGAAGGGTCCATTCCTCAAAATGTGCCAGAATGCAAATATATTTCAAAAACATTGTGGAATTGCTTGTTTTAATTTTTTGAAACCAAGATCAAGCTAGGAATGGCTTGAGAGTTTCACAATAATTTTGTTTAGGCTTTTTGAACTGGATTTCAACCAAATAAGACTCAATCTATACTAGCAGTACAGCAAATTGGAAAAATGCTGAGGTGGTACAGTGAGGCTGTGTAACTGCAGATTGAAATGGAGAATATAACTTTTTAACACTCCTTTGTGTAAAAAAAAAAAAAAATCCCCGCAAGCAGAACACCAGCAGGGAGAGAAATTTTCTCCCAGTCCTATCCCCGAAATGCTAGTTTTCTACTTGCAGGGAGATGTACACACTCATTGTTGCTTTTAATGCAGAGGTGAGCGCGAAGTAATTGATGCAATCTATTCAAGCACCTTGCATTTACCACCAAATTGTGGGGCATCTGCAGACCTGCTTTTCCTCTGATAAAACTGTTGCAGCACAAGAGCCCGTGAGGTACAACAGTTAAACAGATCATGCATGAACTCCATCCTTACTCCATTTGGATTTTTTTGCAGGCAACCTGCTCAAGCACACCATGTCCCAACTACACAAGCAAAGGAATGAAAAGAGCTAGTTCCTAAACCATGCAGGTGTGATTAACTTGTGGCCCTCCAGAAACTTTGGCCTACAACTCCCACCATCCCTCTAAATTGACTAAACTGGCTGAGTTGGATGGGCTGTAGGCCAAAACATTTGGAAGTTCACAAACTTCCTGCCTCTGAGGACGAGCTACAGCATGCCCTGAGCTCACATGCTCCCTTTCTCCTCCCCACCTCTGGTGTGACCACAGTAAGACCAAAAGCTTCTGCTTCCATTAAGGATTAACCAAATTGATGTTACGTACAGACCCAAAGCAGTGCTAATCCTAAGTAGGGGGTTATTAAAGCAAGTCAAATTCTCAAACTAGAGTATGGAGTTGGCTGGTTTCAACACACCATAGTTAGATGAACCTATTTGCTGGGTTCCGATGACACAGCAAGCTGTGTGTAATCTAAAACAGAAGCAAAGGCTTCCAGATGTCTTCTAGCAGTCACACCAGAGAACGAGGAAAAGGGAGAGGTATGTATGCTCAAGATTCACTGCAGCTCATCCTTGTAGTGCTGAATCATGGTTTAAGTGTTATCTGGACAGGATCATGGTAACGGCCTCTTCTGAAGCCCCATCTACCCATGCAGCAGAATGGAGTGGAAGTGGTGTAGAATGGGCGGTACTGTAGTGGAATCCCACTGTACTACATACATAGATCAGGCCTGAGACAGGAATGTCAAATGAAGATGCAGCCCGTCTGTACATGCAGGAGAATGAAGTGATAAAATGGACTGCATCATGAAAGCTGGTCTGATGTAGTGGTCAGAGTCCTGGACTGGGGATCCTCTCGTCCCCACTTGACCATGAAGTTCATTGGCTGACTTCAGGCTATCACAGATTCTCAGCATAAGCTACCTCACAAGGTTGTTGTTATGAGGATAAAGTGGATTGGAGATGATGTAAGCGACCTTGGATTCCTTGCAAGAAAGAAAAAGCTGGAATATAAATGTAATCTAATAATAGTAATAATGTCAGACTCTTTTGACTGCTCCTCTACTTAAGAAGCAAAACAAAACTCCCTGTAAATAGGAAGCAAACCATCACAGGGAAAAAGGTTTTACTCCAGCCTTCTCCTTGTTTGATGGTTTTCTCACAAGCAGGTTTTAGTGTAGAAGAAGACTCCACAAATCGATTCCCTTCCCTCTGTCCTCAAGTGCTACAGTCCAAGAACGTAGGCAATAAGAAGCTGTCTTATACTGAGGCACACCGATGGTCCATCCGCACCAGTTTTGTCAACTGGCAGCAATGCTTTCCGGGGCTGCAGGCAGGAGTCCTTTCTAGTCCTACCGAAAGAGGCTCAGAATCGGACCTGGGCACTTCTATGTGCAAAGCAGCTGCGCCCCACTAAGCCAAGGTCCCTCACTCAACCACCTCAGCACTTCACTGGCACATTCATTCCTGACAGCCCATGCGGAGTAGCAGTCAGGACCAGGAAGACCCAGATTCAAATCTTGACTCCCAGATTACCTTAGACCGGCTATAGTCCCCTGCCCTACCTGCCTCACTGCGTGTCGTAAGGATAAAATGAGGAGCTCGGCCATGTATGCTGCCATGAACATCTTGTGCGGAAGGGGGGGTGAAAGAAGTCCTCCACTGCATATATAGCGACAGAGAGAGAAGGGCAGCAGGTCCAAATTTTGCCTGACTAAGGCAATGCGCAAGTAGCCAGTGCTTGAGAATTTCCCTTCCCGCAGGTCCAAGTGGAAAGAGGAGGACACCACGGAGGGGCACGAAGGGTCACTGTGGCACCTTGCGGTGAAGGCTGTTTGGACGTGACTCACATCCCACTGGCAGAAGGTCATGCAGCAACAGCGCAGCCACCTGCGGCCTCTGCACAGGCAGGCTGGGCTCCTTTCCTGAAGCGAGCTGAAGGCGTGGGCTGCCTTCCCTGCCTCTGGCCATCTATGGCCAGAATTTTGAGAGAATGGGGCCAGTCAGCTCAGCTTTGGAAGCTAGGGAAAGGAGGCACTTTGAAAGCAAACAGCACATTCCTAGCTTGGATAATCATGAGCTACATGATGTCAAGAAGAAGACAACTATTGAGAAAGCTCCTGCAAGAGTAATTAAAAATACCACAAGACTTTCCTTAATTTTATGATGGTACCACATATTTAAGCAAGCCAAAAACACGTATCCCTGTATCCTCCTTGATGTGGCAATGAACCCAAACATATCCTGGTGCCATCTGTTTGCAAGCCAAAAGCCACTGTCCCAATCCTCACCCCAGATGAGAATTACATGTAAGTCATAATGCAGCTCTCCATACAGCAAACGGCAGTCCCTGTTTTTCTCCAAAGGGCTAGTAACTTCTTTTTCATCTACTGCTCGGCAATAACATGGGGCAGGACAAGCTACTTCCTAGAAAAAAGTAACCAGCCTTATTACTTTATTGCTATAAATGTCCTGAAGAGACATTTTAGATTTGGGGCAGTGAGACAGGGCCTGCCCTGGAGGCTGAATTTCAATCTGGCCACCCCAAACTCACTACAGTTGGGAAACACCTTGAACTGGAGCACGAAAACAAGCGATCATCAGCAAAATCAGCACAGAGCAGGTAGGAAAATCCCCAGAGGGCCAAGCCCCTTCCCCACAAGTATAATTTGGTGATTTCCCAACTTTTGTGCATTACAAGCATCCCTGCCCAATTTTAAAAGGATGAAATGACTCTTCTTAGTTAACTGGCCCTTTCAGCTGAGCTATGCTTGTAATTTGGCCCTATCCTCTTTATTTTTGGCTCTGGCTTGCCCACCACTGGTATGTGCCGCCTAAGAGCATCTCTGGAATCAGGTGGAAAGGGTTTCAACAGCATTGATGGATGTTAATGGGCATCACTGGTAACCCTGCAGAGCCACATGCGACAATTCCCAATGAGATGATCAATGATCACCTTCCAATTTGTATTGGACAGAAGGAAATAAATCCCCTGGAAGGCTTTCCGTGAAAGACCTGCCAGATGTACAAGCTGGTACAGTGAAATATTGTGATCCACAGGGTTAAAAACTGCTATCAGCTCCTTCAGTATCAGCAAGGAGGAATTCTACTTAGTAAACTAACAACAAAGACCTCCTGGAGCCAGTTGTGTCCATCCTGGAGAGAGTGCAGATATCAGACCAGGAAAAACCTGGAAATGTGACCGAGAAAAATCCGAACACTTAACAAACACTGAAAGAGGAGTTCTTGCAAACACTTTGGAAATCTACATTTAAGGAATTGTATTCTTAATGCACTTCCAGACAAAAGGTTCCTTTGTACTGCTATTACAGAGAATTCTACTCTTCTAGTCCTCTGCAAAAGCATCCACATTTCTACAAAATGAAAGGAGTAGCGGGGGAGCTTTTTTCAAAAGATAGCCTTCCTGTAGCAGCTGTCTTTTTCCTGCAGCTTTTGGAAGCAGCCAGTGATATCCCTGTACGTGTACTCAGTGTACTAAAATAGCTGTTCATCTTTCTAAACTAGGGGTACAGAACCGCAGCCCTAGCAGCCAAACACAACCCTCCCAGGGGTTTCCATTTGGCTCTCCAGGGCTACCCAGATGGCCACAGACCCATCCGTTGGCCTTATGCCTTTACCCCAACCACTGATAGTTTCATGGTTTCCTGGCTTGTATGCACTTTCCCTCCATTCTAAAAGGATGAAGTGCCTCC